CTGCTGATTAATAAAGCACACAGGTTCACAGATGGTGCGACAACCTCAGCAATGAGCTGCAGAGTTCAACCTTTACCGCCTGATTCCTGCAGGTGATTTGTTCTGGAACACAGGCCCTAACACTGAAGCAAGCTGCAGGTCAGTTCCTACATTCCTCACTGTTTTTGACAAAAGCAATTCTAAGTAATACGAACCTTTTTCCATTTCATATTCCTGAACAAATTATAATCAACGGATGAAGCTACAGAGAGCAAAGCTCCTTTATTCCCTTATTAGGGAAATATTTTGTTGATTTAAGGATGTGGATTTCTGTAAAACTGCTCAAATTTCAGTTTGAATTAATTATTTTCTCAGCATTATATACAACCCCTTATTTGTATTATTTTTGGGTTTGATCTGCTCATGCTTGCACACAGAATTTACAGGGCTTGCAGAAGCAAATTTCTAGATTATAAAGTAAAAAAAAAATACTTATAAGTAAAATAACCAGCACCTTTTGAGTAACGATTTAGGCTTTCATCACAATGAAAACATTTTAAACCTTTAATTAACGCTTTAAAAGGATGCATCAAGATTCAAATGCCTAAAGCTAACAATAAGTAAAGCACAGATATTAGAATCTCAGTGAGGAGAAAGATTAGATGTATTCAACATTTAAAGTCTGCAATGTTTTACTTTTCTATTTATTGGCTTTCATTTTAATTTGATCCTTTTTAGATGGTGTAGTCCTAGCAAACAGCTTCTCTCTTTAACTTTTAATTTTACTAGCATTGTACTCAAATGAGAAACATTTGCATCTTTGGCTTAATGTTGCATCAGATATAGAGAATTGAGAAATGCAAAGCACAGGATTCATGTAAGCTTCACTGAGTTTCATTTTTTATGACTATATCCAGACTTATACTGTTTTTAAAAAGACCAGGATGTACTAAATAAAATAATCTAACTTATACTTCACTTACTAACTATTGGAATTGAAATATAACCTTGTCAAAGTTTGTGAAACAAGCACCAAGAAGCCAGTTTCAGGAGTTGCACTGCATCATAGGCTTAGTAGTTGTGCTATCAGGAAATAAAACCTTAACTCATTATCCAGATCTACATGTGGAACGAATGAATAACACCAGCAAACTCCTTCCCCCTAAAAAGAGCCAAAAGGAATGGGCAAACCAGATTTCTTTTAAGACCTATACCATAAGCACCGTAAGATCTGGACATATTTAAGACTTTTTAAGGCCTTAAAATTGGGCTGAATAAATTTAAGTCTTTTAATGAGTTTGAAGACCTGGCAGCCAGCCTAAAAGTACAAACGCTGCAGAGTGAAATGTTTATTATGTAGAGGGATGAAGGCTTATGCAGCAGCTCCAACAGGGAAGGAAAGCCTGCTTTAGGGTTAGAGGCTGAATCTCTGCATATAGTCTGCAAATCCAACTGTATCTGGAGAGAATTTCCTGTTAAAGTGTTCCTCGCTAATCCTAATCATGGGTATAAATTGAGATGACATTTCGCCTTTCCAGTGGTAACTGTGCATTCACTTGTTTCATTTTTTTTTTTCCACCACTGCTTTTACCTCTTCACATTCAACATCTGTCCCCGCAGCTCTCTAATTTAATGCTTCTTTTCTTCTTTTTCTTCTCGTTTTGTTTCTCCTCACACTTCCTGCCTTTCTTCCTTTTTCTACATTCTCTCTTTTCTTTCTCTCCCTGCGTTCAGCCATGGAGTAATTTGATCTCGTCTATCAGGCCGACATTGCTGTGAATCAAAAGACAGAGAGAGAGAGAGAGAGAGAGAGAGAAATATAGTACAAACCTTGGTGGCCCCACCCCCCACTGCACACACACACACACACTCTCTCTCTCTCCGTCACTCTTTCTCTCTCATCTACAACATCCCGACCCCCAACTACCCTCCGTATCTCTCTCCAGTCCCTACCCCCAACCACACCGCTCTCTCTCTCCACATCCCCAGCATCTACCACCTATATCTCTGCTTCCCGTCTTCTTGAAACAAAAAAAAAAACACATAAATTGTGGGTTTTCTGGCAGAGTACGGCTTTTTTCAAATAGAGAACTCATTGGAAAAATCAGCGGAAAACGAGAAAATATTTTAGCAGCATGTTTTAAATTCCTACCTAAATAGAGAAAGACATAGGAAAGATCAGGAAAGTCATTTTCCAAAGCTGTTAGGAAAAGATATGATGTCTGAGGTAACTGGATGAACAATCTCTCAATCCCAATCTGACTAGGCCTAAACCAAGACAAAGGCCGAGGAACTGGAGACAAGGCTTCACCGATGTCTGAATACATCGGCTGAAGAGGTGTTGCACACAAAAAAACAAATCACACCAAAGGAAAGTGTTTAATTTTACTACTTAGGTGAAAAGATTTTTCATGTCTAAGCAATCGTATCAGTGATAGAAGAAGTAGTTTGACAGCCAATTATAAACCATTATTTTATTTTTTTAAAAGAGCCTTTTACAGCATATATTGTAAGATAAAATATAGTTAATTTATCATTTTACCAGCTCAGAAATACATTAATACGATACCAAATGAGAAGCTCAAGCAGAAGCAAAGGATGGTTGTTTAAGATGGCAAAAAACTGTATCTAAGATGTTTTTTTTAAGTATCCAACTGATGCACATTTGCAGCCGTACAGACTTTGTGTGAGGCAAAGTTTCCTAAAAGGTGAGTGGAGAGAAAACCTGCGTGTGAATGACTCAGGGATGAAAGAGTGCATCAGACCAGCTACGGGACACGCATCCTACTTTGTTCATTTAGCCTATGAAGATATGTAACTTATACATATATATATAGAAAAAAACTGTATGTGACAGAGTGTGAATGATTGATGCTGATGCAAACAAACCAAAAGTGTTATTATTGTTATGCATCTATCACTAAACAGGTTGCAGGCAGCTCTTTTTTAACTGCTACATTTTTTTCCCATGTGGAAATTTCATGGTGTCTTAATAAATTGAACCTAATTGCAAATGGGATTTAACAACTTACAAACTGAGAAGAAATGAAGTGATCAAATCTTTTCACAGCAGTTTAAACTTTCTCTGCACATGAGGCATTACAGAGCCTGGAGTTAAAACACCAGGTTTCCTGACCAGGGCTTCCTATCACACATTTGTTATTATCACATTTTTTTCACCTAGTTTGTTGTAATTTTATTTAGTTTATTCTTGTCTTCTCTGGAAAAGAATTGTGGGCTATAGTTTCATTGCTACAAATCAAAGCCTTTTAAAGACCTTGTAGACACTCCTACGGTGGGAGGAGGTACCTGTCCGGTGTCTGCTGATGTAACCCAACTGTTACACAGTGGAAAAGCTCACAAAAACTAGCCTGGGTAGTTCTGGGGAAAGAAATGTTCCACAGCGTCAAAACTTGGCTAATTACACTGAAATCGAGTGACTCTGAGCATCTCCCAACAAACAGTGGCTGAATCAGGTGCTGAAGGACTTAGTATCAGAAACTAGGTGGAAACTTCTTGATCTCATGGATCATTTTTGGGTTTTAATGTGTACATTTAATGGAAACTCTGCCTTCAGTAAAGTTTGCACATCAAATCTGAAAATCAATGAGCGCCAGTTTGTTCTGTCTTGCTTAAACACTGATTGTGGAATGATTTGTTTCATGTTTTGCTTTGCAGTGTTAATCTGCATTCTTCTATTCTTTGCATTTTTCACGTTCCTGTAATTTGATTCTAATCTCTTTTAGGAACGAAAGCCTTACAGCATTTTTTGTCAGCTGTCACTCATATGTTGCCTTCGATATGTAATATCTGGCATGAACAGGGGGCTAAGAGTAATTCTGGTCTTAAATGCGGTCTTAATGCGTCATATTTCATAGGATCCAAAATGGCTTAAATAGAGCCAGATCAAATGCTGTAAACAAATAACTTAAATTATATGTGAAACTTATTCTTATACACTTTTCTAAGGTCCACACTTGTGTGACCATTTTTTCTATAATATTTTTGCTGCTTTAAACACCATTGTGGGACAATAAATTGAGTTTCTATTCTATTCTATTCTATTCTAGCATTTAGTGTCTATTTATCTTCTGTGTTTAGGGAAATGTATAAGATAAAGTATCAGACGAGCAAAGGCTAAAATGTAGGGGAAACTGTTTGTTTACAAAATGGTAAAAGGAGAAGGAAATGGGGGTATGAGTTGGTGAAGGGGAGAACTGACTTGGATTCAGCCCGCCACCATTTCACCGAAATATGCAGCATCTTTTCAGAACTGAGCAAATTAAGCACACAAATGAGCAGGTTGTGTTATATCCAGCTAAAACAAAAGAAAAAGGTTAATTAATCTTCTGGATCGGCCCCTCAGTTAGGGCTAATTCAATGATCAGCCATTTATTGCTGTCTAAATGAATATGGTTTCCCCAGGCACCAAGCACTCACTCTGAAAAACATCTCCCTGCATATATATGATTGCTTATCAGATGACATGTGCCTCACAGATATAGAAGTAGATGCATATAGATGTGACCCAAGTCCAGGTTTATGCTTTGGGTCTGACACTGACCTTTGGCTTTTCTTTGGAGGGAAGCTGAAAACAGAGCCCACACTGAGCACAAATCAACATGCTGCCATCTTTAAGCATAAAATACCACTTTTAGATGTAGCTAAAAAAAAACAAAACTATAGAGTCTTTAACTCTTCTCACTTCAGCTTATTACAATGTACCACATAATGATTATAACTCTTAATTGGGGTGTACAAATAATAGACTTACTTTGAAGGTGGTTAAGTGAAATTATTACTTTAAAGGGGAAAAGATTAGCTAAAAAACTATCTGATCTAGTGGCACACTAAATGTAGTTAAATTCATTAGATGCTTTAACTAAGAGGGGCCCCAATAAAGCAATTAATTAGCACTTAATTGGGCGAGATACAAAAATACAGCAGAGTGAGGAGAAAAGGAGGGGATAACAGAAAGAGAGGAGATAATTTAAAAGAATATTTAAAATATAAGGACGAACCTTGTTGGTCCCAAAAGCCGGGTCAGGGTAGGAGAGCTGCCCCAGCCTGGAGGGGTCTGAGGCGGACAGAGGCTGAGGAGGAGGAGGGTAAACTGTTACATCCATGACTACAAATACATCCACGTCTTCTGTTCTGCTTTTCTGCTCTTTTTAATACCAGTCACTGATAAAATTTTGATTAAAAAATGGTTTTAGTCCATTAAAAATTGTTTAGTTTTCAGCTTCTTATTGAAACAGAGACTTGTAAAGTTTAGGCTGGATGTGCTTCTCCACGCGCCGGGCTCTCATGCTCCTGTGACCGCAGCTCAGAGGACCAAAGTTCCCTGTTAAAAGCGCTTCTATGGTTGGAGCAGAGCTTCAAATAAGAACAAGAAGAGCAGTTTTTTCCCTCCTTTTGTCAGAGTCCGGGTCCTGCTGCGGTGCGCGGCGGGGACAGGGGATGTCGCTAAACCTGTCTGTCCCTGGTTGGGACTCAGTTGGTCAATGCTGCTCTGCTGCTGCGGTCCACTCATACAAAGAGCTTCTAAAGAAAGCTAAACATATTGCGTACAGAAAACCGGAAGTACGCTTTATAACAAAATAAAAGATTGCACTTCTTTACGACGAAAAATATGAGTTTATACGAGACAAAGTCGCAATTTCTACTATGGATAAAATATAAAACATTAACTAGAACCAGGAACGTATATCACATTGTATCTATAAAACACGCCACTACCGGAAAACGAGCTTTATTTTGGTAACATTTGAGTTTCCGTCTTCCTCCATCCGAGTTTTCAGTTTAATGGTTGCAGCTGCTCCCCCTAGAGGTGAAAGAGTGTATAAACGCAAACAATTTCACATCTCCCAGTTTCTACTTTGGCTTCTCATCTCAGTGCATATAGATTTACATGTCTACTTTAAACATTTTCAAATATACATATTTATAGTTATTCTCTACCTTTGTCAAAATGTGTATCTCTTCCATATACAGTTTCTTTCAACGCAGGAAATGCATTAAAGAGAATTGTCACAAGTATTTTATTATTAAAATTAGGTCATAATGTAATAATGTAGGTAAGAACTTAAATAATAATAATGAAATTCACAGTTTTCATCATTCAACTCCATTTACCTGACTTAGACAGGATGCTAGTAAACCAACTTATCAACTTATCATAATCGAGTGTTTTTATATATATATATATATATATATATATATATATATATATATATATATATATA